ATTGTTTGATACATCATATGTAAAGAAAACACTTCAAGTGTCTGTGTCTGGTCTTGGTATTTTTAACACTCATGAAGTATTAGTAAAACAGTTTTTCAAACACTTTGGAAGATTTTTGTCATTGGTCTTTGTGCTTTTTTTGTTACACAGCATGCATGTTTTCGGGTGAAAGCAATTACATGAGAGAATTGTTGCATTAACAGCAACTTGGAATGTTAAAGGAACAGTTCGCCCCAAAATTAAAAATACATGTATTTCCTCTTACCTGTAGTGATATCCGTCAATCAACAGACCTTGTTGTGAGCCGTTTCATGTCGGAACTATTTTCTTTCTTTCTGAGCTACACCCGCCATACACCGTTATGACTGTGCAGAAGGAAGAGTGCATCTACTCATGGATAAGAGGCTCATGCTTGTGACAGCGCAAGATGTAAACATTAATGGCATCCTTGTCCACTGAGCTGTAACATTAGCTAGCTCAGTGGTGCTAGGTGAGCTAGCAGTAGATGCACTCTTCCTTCTGCACAGTGATACGGTTGGCCCGTGTAGTTCAGTAGAGAGAAAATAGTTCCTACATGAAACTGCTCACAACTAGGTCTGTGGATTATCTTGAGTAATCGGGTCGTGATTTCTGGAAAGAGACATTGCTGTTGAGTTTTTCAGTTTTTTAAAATTATTTTTTCTGTTTATCTTTCTTTCTTTTTTTTGTCATTGTGTACACACAAACGATGAGGGCCCGGCTGTCTTAAAAAATGTAATCATGCACCTTTTAACTCAGTGCAGAGCATATTAAGACAGCATTCATTAAAAAAAGGCTTTAATAGACAGCAATATTTACAACTGTTAATTTACTAATGCATGCACCTATTTGCCTAAGTCCTAGCTTACAGTGGAATATATGACCATGTCCATATTGAAATCTAACTGTTTTTATTGTTTTCATCAAACTTGCCTTTACTAATGGCTACTCAAACCATTTTTTTGTGAAATTATTGTTCTTCTTCTTATTATAATTATTATTAACGTGAATCCAGGGTATATGAAATATTCTAATTAACCTCCAAGCAGTTGTAAAGATGGCATATATAGTTTTCCTGGAAGATTTCAGTCCTTGCTGTGGAGAGAGCTCAACACTGGTGTGTCAGGGCCTTAATATGTTTGTAGAAACAGCTTTACACTTTTCGTTATGATGCTCTAGGCAAATGTGTTTCCTTATATGGAGAAAAGGGGGTGTGGCCGTATGTTATTTGCAAATAGCGGGCATGTGCCTGTCAGTTTGGAATGATTCGGATTCACCAACATAGGCACAATCTGATGGTAATTTTGCAGCAATGCGGCCTATTGCTGTTAATTTTTTATTATTTATTTATTTTTTATTAAATTTTGTTTAATTTCTCTTTTTTTCAAATTCTTTTATTAATTATTAATTTTTTTAGTTATTATTTATTTTTTAAATTTTAAACTTATTTTTTCTCTCTTTTTAGCCAGCCAAGTGCCATCTAGTTCCATTATATGTTAGAGAAGGCAGACATCTCTCAGACATCTCCAACACTTGACAACTCACCAAAACAAGGTTGAAAAATAGCACCACAGGTAACTGGGAGATAGATGTGTTTTTGATTTGGGGTGAACTGTCAAAAAAAAAAGAAAACAGTCCACATAATCACTCACATACATTGCTACATTGCAAGAATACTAAGACAGATTTCACACTGGATCAAATTTTAAAACCACATTTTCTCCTTTTCATCGAGAGCCTCTGGCATTTCTTTTATGCTTGAGCCAAATTGCAACTGGAAGATTGAATACAGTAATAAGTGCACTTTAACATTTTACAGCAGTATTTATTTCCAGAAAGCTCTCAAATTGCTATTAACACTGACATCCGAGGCTCATTTCAACAGTCTGAGCCTTTGTCGAAAAGCAATTTGCTGAGGTTTAAGTAAGAGATACAAATACTGCTTCAGTCAATACAGGTGCAGGATCGTGTGTTTGCTGCTGTCTATCAGGATTCACTGGTGCCGACCTGATGGAGTCAAGTGTGTGTGTGATTAAAAGGATGTTCAAAACAACAGTAGTGAAAAAAAACTCTAATTGCTAATGAGAAATCAAAGCAGCTCCTCACGGTAACAAGGACACGCAGTGTCAGTGATGAGAAGCTCCTGAAAACAGCCTCAGCCCACATCATTTAATTACAAAGTCGCAGCTGCAGACAGATTTTATGTGTCAGGAAAAGAGAGGGGGGCTGGGATGCAAAGACCAAAAACAATTTAAGAAATTAGACATGATGTAGGTTGCCTAAAGTCTGTGTTTCATGCTGAATATTTGAACCACAGATCTGTTTGTTCTTGGTTATTTCCAGACAAGTAGGCTGCATTTTTACAGTCAGGAGAGTTAAATGTTAGGTGCCTTAAACTTCACTGATTTCTACAAATGTTCAGATAAATTCATAAAGGTCAACATGTGTCGAACTATGACCAAATAGCTCCCCCTTGTGGAGAAGCTGCAGCCTGCTGATGGGAATGGATGGTTCAAGTATTTTCTGTAGGTGTTTCACATCTAGTTAAAACAAAATCATGAATTTAAACCGCAGTTATGCCTTTATGAAAGATCATTTCAACAACAAAAAAAGTCCACCATCTTCTTTTCATTATTAACTGTTTTCCCCCTCATAATTATGACACATTATCTCATAATTTTGAGAAACTATCCAATATTTATGACAGGAGATACTTAGCCTAGTCCCAACTAATCAATTCTTACAATTAAAGGCCTGTCTCAATTAGAGGCCTTGTCTGGTGGCCAAGCAGTTCATTTATTTTTTTATATTTATTTATATAAATTCCACAAGGTGTAAAAGTGGGTTGTTGGCTACTTCAAAGTATGTGTCCATTCCACAATTACCCTGTAAGTTATTCATATTCCTTTAGTCCAGAAGGGTCCTCAGATCAAAAGAATCAAAAGGGTTTTTCATTAAAATCAATTTAAGTTGTCAGAATAGTTTTAACAGGATAAAATGGCATTGTGTCGGATGCTGGGTGCTGTAATCCTTGAGTGCCGTAAAACAAGTGTCGTAATGAAACAAAGCTTTTATTTACTTTAATTTCACAGATAAGAAACAATAAATTGTGACGACAATAAAGCCTCCACAAAAATAACATTTTAAGTCTTGTATGTGATTTATCCTGGCTTCATATGAGCAGAGGAAAACTCCGCTTGTCGCTAGGCTAATTCATACAATGTAAAATGCCATAGGCTTGTGCTAATAACGTTAGCATGTTATATTTGTTTGGAAAACGTGTTTAGTACAAGACAGTTATTTTGTCAGTGAACTTTGTGAGTTGTAATGGAGCAAAATTATGTAATGTTACCTTTGTTAAATGTTGCTGTTGTCCCTGACTTCATATGAGAAGAGGAAAAGTCTGCTAGCTGCTAGGCTAATTTATACAATGTAAAATGCCATAGACTTGTGCTAATAACGTTAGCATGTTATATTTGTTTGGAAAACGTGTTTAGTATAAGACAGTTGTTTTGTCAGTGAACTTTGTGAGTTGTAATGGAGCAAAATTATGTAATGTTACCTTTGTTAAATGTTGCTGTTGTCCCTGGCTTCATATGAGTAGAGGAAAAGTCTGCTAGCTGCTAGGCTAGTTTATACAATGTAAAATGCCATAGGCTTGTGCTTATAACATTAGCATGTTGTATTTGTGGAGAAAATGTGTCCAGATAAAGACAAGTGTTTGTCTGTGAATGCTGCGAGTCATAGTGAAGCTGATTTGTGTACTTGTGTTTGAAACTGTCTCTATTAAGCCATGTTTAATGTGTGTTTAATGTGTGTTTATGTGTTTTGAATCAACTAAACTTCACAGCACTTCACAGAAACCCCGACGCCGACTAGTGTTTTGGAGGTGTAACTGCAGAGTGACACAGACACATCACCACACCTGTGTAAATGCTCACAACCGTAGGTCACGGCGTAGGGTCTGCTGCACAAGTATAAATCCCACTTAACTCGGTGCTGTCTGTTGGATGTATATCAAATGAATGATTTATACTTAATATATTATCTGAAGCCCAGTTTTTATAAAAGTAATATTCATACTGGCTTAAATAAACATCTTTGCTGAGCAACTGTTATTAAAGGCCTGCCCATATAGACACCTGTCCCAATTACAGGCCTGTTGGTTTCAGTGATTTAATCAAATAATAGCCCGGGCTACTAATTTTGGTTTTAGGTTTGGAGTTTGAGCTTGGCACAGATCTATCCAGGACTGTAGCCTTGCTCCTTTATGTGTTAAGAAAATTCTCCTCCTTCTTAAGCCAAATAAACTCTTTAAAAAAAACCTCTTGGATCAGCTGGAAATTGCATCACCACAAAGCAAACAAGGCTGTTTCTCTGACACCAGGAAAAGCTGATTTTTTTTTTAAGATATGTGGTTCTCACATGACAGCAAACATATGATGATCTTACAGAATATGATGCGTTGCTGTAGCTTGAACCAACAGTATATAAAGGAGTTAAAATGAGCACAACCTTAAACATGTACAGCAGTAAAAGGCATCAGACACATTCATGCAGAGGTTTTATTAATTTAAAAACCTCAGATATAATAGTAAATATTTCACTGCACAATGGATACTTTTACATTTTGCTGATTATACTAACATATTTATACCAAAAGGGTTTGAATGCAGGACTTTAACTTATGGTGGAGTAGTTTCACAGTGTAATGTGAGTACTTTTACTTGAGTAAATGATCTGAATTCTTCTTCCACCACTGTCCACTGGCTACTAGAGATTATTCTGCACATTAATCAATAAGGAGTTGAAAACACCTGCGCTAGTCTTTTAAACATGCCATTAGAAAATGAAAATAATTTCAAGGATGTTTTGGATTTAGTCCTCGCTACTTTACACGTGATTATTGTGGGATTATCAGGCGATTATGACAGCGGGCACCGGTCAGTAGTGAATGTGTAAAGCTCTGTGCAAATCATAACACGTGTGAAGCCACGCTGGGGAGAAATTACGCGCCGGTGCGCAAAGCGCGTCAGCCAGTCCCAACAAGAGGAGCTGCCAACTTTTAAGAGCTTAATAAATATAGTTTGGGCAACTGAGGAGCCGATTGGAGAGATCCTGGTGATTTATCACGAATATGGGATATGCTGTAGGCTACTGAGTGGACGGAAACTGATCGATTTTTGAATATTTCCTATAAAAAACAAAATGGACCCGTAGCTGGAGCGGCAGGAAAACTTTTTCAGCTCTTGTCTGCGGTAACAAATATACATGTGTCATGTCGGATACTAATAATTCACTGGAGCCAGACTTTCCCCCTGAAAGTGAGGACTGTCCTGCAGAGGAGTCATTTGGCTTTGGAGATGATTTGGAGTTGAATCAGTTCGATGGATTGCCCTTCTCCTCGCGTTACTACAAATTACTGAAAGAGAGGAAGACTCTGCCAGTGTGGAAAGTCAGGTCCAAGTTTGAAGATGCTCTGGTGAACAACCAACTGGTTATTGTATCCGGTACAGCAAAGACTGGGAGGAGCACACAGGTAATATGGTTATAATGTATTGTATTGGGAGGGAAGGGAGGATGGAAAAGATGGTCTTTGAGAGAGATTTATTTTGTGATGTTGAAGAAGTCTAGAGTTTCTCTGTGACCTTGGGGGCATAAGAATTAAAGATAATGCTTCTCCCTTTCCTTTTTCTCTGCTCAGGACATTCTGACTTCCCTCATTCTAGACCCAAATACCAAAGCATAACCCAATTTGCATGACTTGAATGTTTGTTACCACATGCTCAGTGCAGCCTATTCAGTCAACAGCAAATCTGAGAGGTCTGCTCCCCTTGATTTGATTTAAATGTTAAGTTGTGTTTTCCTGGCCATGTTTATCCACTGAAATGCAACAAGTTCTGTATGTGGCGTGGGTCTTTTTCCCCCCACTTTGACATAATATGGAAATAGCACCATTATGTGAGCTTGTGTGAACAGGCTGCCCAGCTCAGCAGATGCTGTTGTGTCACTGTCAGACTGTCCAAGCACCAGCCTGACAGTCATGCCTCACAAAGGCTCCAGCAGGGGTGTTAGGGGACCTCCTGCTGCTAAGCCCTGATCCGCTGGAGCCGCCTCATGCTGCCAAAGCAATTTTGCATTATTAGCGATAATACCATAGGATATATCTTCTGACACTGTTTGTTTTGCTGTGTGCTCAAACAAAAGCTGTTGGGTGCAATCCTGAAAAGGATGCTCGCCACTGAAAACTGAGTGTATGTGAATGGAAAATGGTGCAGAAAGGTGAACATCATTTAGTCATTATTCTCTTTCAGATCCCTCAGTGGTGTGCCGAGTTCTGTCTGTCTGCCCAGTACCAGCACGGCATGGTTGTGTGCACGCAGACCAACAGACAGCAGGCTGTAGATCTGGCCTTGCGTGTGGCCGATGAAATGGACGTCAACATCGGTCATGAAGTGGGCTACACCATCCCTCTGGAGACCTGCTGCTCCTCTGACACTGTTCTGAGGTCTGTTAAATGAGCTCTCAGCAGCAGCAGCAGCAGCAGCGCTTGAATGACACTTTAATATCATCCACACACTATCTCTGTCAATCCTAATCTTTTCTTTGCTGTTGCTCCTCAATCACATCATGGGTAAAATGTAGAAGCATAGCTATCATCCTGAAGTTGCCATTTATGGTTGCTGCTCAGCAAAAGCTCCACCACTGACCCCATCTCATGGCGTTTATCACTCAGGTACTGCACTGACAATATGCTGCTGAGAGAGATGATGTCAGACCCTTTCCTGGAGCACTATGGGGCCATTATCATCGACCAGGCCCATGAGAGGACAGTGAGCACAGACATACTCCTGGGTCTCCTCAAGGACATCCTGCTGCAGAGGCCTGAGCTCAGAGTGGTGATCCTCACCATCCCGCCTGTGACCGACAAGCTGCTGAGCCACTACGACAGCGTCCCGCTCGTCAGTCTGGAGGCCTCGTCTCCCGCTGAGGCGGTCTACAGCAACAGCGGCAACAAAGACTACTTCTTCTCAGCGCTGAGGCTGGTGCTGGAGATCCATCGGACCAAAGAGGAGGGAGATGTCGTTGTGTTTTTTGCCTCGGCTGAGGTAAGTGATCGCTGTATTTTTCACAAGTGGTTTCACCAAACCAAAGCTGGTTTTACAAACTGTGACATCCCCTGATTTGCTTGTAATGTCTTCTGTAGGAGGTTCATTTAGCCCACAGTATCCTCCAGAGAGAAGGCACCAGGCTGGGAGCCGAGCTGGGACAGATGGTGCCTGTGGTCCTGTGTCCAAGCCGCAGAGGGCTACTGCCTGCTCTCACTGAGCAACTGGAGAGGTCCAGGAGGGTTTTCCTCTCTACCAATCAGGGGGAGGATATGTGGTGGGCCACAGAGTCTGTCAACTTTGTCATCGACACAGGAGTCCAGAAAAAGATGGTATGTTTTTAAAGGAATACTCCCCCTCCCAAACAATTATTTATATATCAGTTACTCACCCTGTGATATATAGATTTGGTGAAGAAAAGTTTTTCATCAATTCAAAAACTGAGAAAAATCTTGATATATTGAAGTAAAAGGGGTCCATTGGTTTAAACTTTCTTTCACACAACTCGTGCAGTATAATCCAGGTCTCATTTATCCAGTCGTATAGTCAGTACTTCCCAAACAGACAGCCCTATTCAATGGGGAACTTATCTGTGATCTATGGCCAGACTCCATTGACGAAAACAGTAATTTTACCTCGCTGAACACAGGAGCTGCTGGTGTACTGCTACCTTGATTGGTAGTTTGTCTGTGTCACACAATAACACAAAGACCCTGTCTCCACCAAAGACTTTCAGTATGGTACCTTTGGAACCAACAGTAACCCTTCAGACATGGTACCTAGACCCTAGTGTTTCCACTGCAAACAGTGCCCTTAAATGTGGGCGGGGTTGTTGTCACTCACTGCTCCGTCCAGCACTCACTGTATTTCCTCCTTTATCAGTCTGCACCTTGTTTATCGTCCACAGAACGAGGCTGCACGCCGACATTTTCAAACGAAATAGAACAGGCTGCAGTGAGAGTCTCTCTCCATGGGATATTTAAAAATAGCAGGTTTGTGCATTTAGTCCTTCTCAGGCAAGCTCAGGGGTTTAGTGTTGCTGGAGCCCACAGAACGCTCTACGATGCTTTTTTTTCCCACTGAGTGAGGATTAGAATATATGCCGTTCATATAATCTGGTCAAAATTAATATATATAAATACTTGAGGATCAAGTCAGTGAAATTTAAGGTGTGCTGATGGATTCATGTCGTCACCTCATACATTGAGTAACATTACAAGTTAACGTTCCACCTTAAAAGTTGCCGGCAATAACATCCTCTCATTTTATAGTTACAGTTTACTAATAAAACTCTCCACAGTATGAACAGTGGTTACATGAGCCTCAAAACCAGCCACAACTCAGCCCTGAGCAGAGTGACCGTCCTCTACTGACCAATCAACAGACTGCAGTGTTCACAGCTCCACCTTTTAGTACCAGATCTGTGTGCTAGGTACCCCAACAGAGGGGGAACCAAAAATGGGGACGGCACAGAACGGTTCCTTTGGACCATCCACAACTTTTTACAGTGGAAACAGGAAAAAAAAAGCTTTGAATGTGAAACAAGCTGATATTATTCGGCATGTGAATTGTTCTTTGCAGGTGTACAATCCCAGAATAAGAGCAAACTCAGAGGTACTTCGACCAATCAGCCAGTGTCAGGCAGACGTACGCAAGCAGCTGTCTGGACCAACAGGTATGTCTCCCAGTCAGGTGCTGGACGATACTTGAAACAGTTTAAAAGGTTACAAAAAATGTTTCTTTCTGACATTATAAAAACATCAGAGTAAACAAAACTTAAATTTTATTTTTGTTTCATTCCATTTATTTCCTAGGTAAATGTTTCTGCCTATACCAAGAAGACAGCCAGCTTCCTGCAGAGAACTCCCCACAGATCCTGGAGTCCGACATCACCCCAACAGTCCTATTCCTAAAAAGGATGGAGATAGCCGGCCTTGGACAGTGTGATTTCATCGACAGACCAGGTGACATAGCCTGCTGGTGGAAACTGCACACGCATCATTAACTGAGACTGACATTTTTACCTCACTGGTTCCCACAGACGGCATCTCTCTCACCCTGAAACGCAGCCGGAGAGGTGTATGTGGGAGGCTTTTTTTGGCCAGAGGAAGCACAAATGAATTTGCTCTGTGTAGCTGTTTGGGCTCAGTCAGCCGTGATTTAGCTGAGCTGACAGGACCCTGCTTCTAACTATTGTCTGAGCTCTAACCACCCCTAACATGAACAGAAGAGGCTAAAAGAGGCCAGCTCATTAGCGATTACACAACATGTCTCGTTAGGGCAGCACCAGACAAGTACAATGGAGAGGAAGCACAGGCCAAGTATACTGTAATATCTCCATATCCTTGCAGAATGTCACACAGAGGTTACTTGCCCTGATAATCATATGTCATGATGTTGTCTTGTGTAAGAATGATGTGGGATTTAAATATCGTAAAGCCAATAAGTGTAATAATATCATGTGATTACAGCACCTTTGAAATTATTATGATGAAGTTGGTGTTTGTAGAAGAATAAGACAATCCTGGTGAAAATTGGCGCAGATGTGGTGTTGTTTCAGCTTCTACCATAGTGTCCTTTTAGGATACTACCACAGGGGGGCATTGACAGCCTCCCAGTGGGTACTTTAAAGGAATACTTCACCCCCTAAATGACCATTTGTATATCAATTACCCACCCCGAGTTATGTTGAATTTGTGAAGAAAACTTTGTTTTTCTTGCATGCCTCCACACTGAACCAAGAATCCAAAAAGAAAAAAAAGTCTTGATGAATTGGAGTCATAGGGTTCCAGGTTTAACAACAACAAAACTATACAAAAACATATGTTTACAAAATCTTACACAACTCATGCATTATAATCAAAGTTTAATTTATCCAGTCGTATGCTCAGTACTTCCCAAACAGACAGCCCTTTCTAACTGGAGCCAAACTCCATTGACGAAAAGTCATTTTATCTTGCTGAACATTGGAGTTGCTGGTCTATCGCTTCCTTGATCCCTGAGTTAGTTTGTGTTACTGTGTGACTTTGGTGTTGATTCACCAAAGTCACACAGTAACACAAACAAACTAACTAATCAAGGCTGCCACAAATCTGCGAGCTCCCGTGTTCAGTGAGGTAAAATTACTGTTTTTGTCAATGGAGTTTGGTCTTGAAGTGAGCATAGATAAGTTTGGGTTTCAGTTCTTTTCCCCACTGAAAAGGGCTGTCTGTTCCATCCACTTCACTGTCCTGCCAGCCCACCTGACCACCATGGGGTCTAGAGCCCACCGCCTCTGGAACTCCCTCCCACCGGACATTCGTAGCATTAGCTCTCTTTCCACTTTCAAATCCTGCCTCAAAACTCTCTTTCGACGAGCCTATTCAGTCTGACTCCAGTCTGTCTAGCCACGCACATCCACTATTTACACAGAATTGTATTTATTTTATTTACTACTAAAGTATTTAATGTAATTTTAAATCAAAAATTACAGTTCCATACACTGGGCAAGACTGGACACTTTACTATTTGCACATAGGGATACTGTCCTTTTGGGTTATGGAATTCATGTATCAAACTCTGCCGTTTCATTCCTCATTGCAGATCCTGAGGGTCTCATGCAGGCGATGGAGGAGCTGGATTACCTCGCAGCTTTGGATGACGATGGCAACTTGTCTGAGATAGGCATCATAATGTCTGAAATCCCTCTGGACCCTCAGATGGCCAAAGCGCTGCTGGCATCCTGCGAGTTTGACTGTGTGAGCGAGATGCTGACCATTGCAGCGATGTTGTCAGGTTCGTATGTGCCATCACTTCCAACTTCGGTGTCTAATTGGAGTAAGATTTGTTCCTTTTTAATGGGTTATAGATTCACCAGATGGTTGTTGTACAGTGTCAGCCTGCAGCATAGGCAGTATAGGCGAATGCTAAGGGCGCCATCACCCACAGGGGGCGCCACAAATGGGGGAAGAAAAAAAGTTTATCTTTTACTATTTTTTACTAATACTATTACTACTATTATTTTGAAATATTACATAAGGCCATAACAAGTGGCCGCAACCAACAGCTCACTGGAGGTTGCATTAATTTACAGTGTGAAGCGTTCAAGCTCTATTCTCTATTCTATGAGTACTAGACGAAGGTGAATTAACTCTAATGATGTGTTCACCGTAACCTTGTAAAATATAGCTTTCGGTGAGAAACTTGAATAAATTCAGCTAGTTGAATGAGAAATTTGTTGTTTTTACTGCACTATAAAATAGATATTAGAGAGGGAATTATGGTGTGTCATATATAGTAAAAAGTCTTTTTACTTATTTTTTTCAAAGATGTTTGTAATATGAAAGAAAATTACGTTAAAGGTGTATTGTGTGTTTATTATTGAATTTGTGCTCATTAAACCTTAGTGTAATGGACTGGGTGATTTTTAAAATCGGCTATTGGCAAAATTGTTATTTTAAACATTGGTTTCAGTATCAGAATTTCAAAACTGGCGCATCTCTAGTTTAATTTGAAAGTTAATTTGTACATTTTATTATTATTTTACAATGCCCTATCTTATTTTATTGTTTAATTGTCTGAACTAGTTAATTTATAATTATTTTTTATTGATTCCTGATTTATATTATTATTATTATAACACATGTACAAAATGTACTGAGAGCAAATTAGCACATATTTTTATCTTATTTGTTGTTAGCTAGGTTGTTTATTTGCATTTTGGTAATGACCACCACTGTAGCTCATTTGCAGATGCACAAAGCTGCAGTTTCATTCAGACACTGAGCCAGATGGTCTTCGGTAAGAGTGGCTTGTTGACCTCGTTGTTTCCTTGTCTTGTAGCATCAAGCTGCTTCCTGGAGCCACCTGCCGGCATGAGCCACGAGGCAGTCCAGTGTCACAGGAAGTTCCAGCACCCTGAAGGCGATCACTTCACCCTCATAAACATCTACAACGCCTTCAAACAAAGCCAGAGAGAACAATGTAAGATGTTGGTGAAGAGAACCAGTCTGCTCTCTGTAATATAGCACATTTTTAAACTTGCTGCGATAACCTGTGACACACTGATCTTTTCCTTTTTAAAGTACTTTATATTTTACAAGGAATTAAAAAACATCAAAGTTGAGATTTTTTTTTAATTTAAGAGACGATGTCAGAATCTTTTACACTAAATGTATTATTTTAATTCTTTTGAATAGAATACATGTACAAATACAATAAAGAAAGAAGCCTGATACCAAAGCAATAATTGGAATAAAAAATTAAAGGAGCAATTTAGTGGGGAAAAACCACCAGGGGGCAGATTTTGATCAGGTGAACCAGGCACTACTTGCCATAACACCTTTGAATTTTAAAAAAGGTAATTTAACTTGACATTTGAGTAAAAATATTATACTTTAATAAATAATTTGCAGTCACAACTGTTTGCTGTTGGGGATCAAAAATGAAACTAACAAAAAAAAATGAATTATAGACTTATGAACCTCGTTTAAATATAATTTTGAGTTCTATACTTTGGCTCTATTTCTGAGTTTTAAGACATGCCTGACCAAAAATCTACTCCACTGTTTGTGATGCGTTCCCCTCAGATTTCACAGCTGAAAAGTGGTGCCAAGACTACTTCCTGGATCATTCTGCCCTAAAAAGAGCTGAGGCCATCAGATCAGAGTTGACTGACACTCTGAACAGGATCGAGCTTCCCATCTCTGAGCCCTCCTTTGGAACCAAGACCAACACCCACAACATCAAGAGAGCTCTGCTGGCCGGGTTCTTCATGCAGGTATGTGGAAACAAAATGCCAGCATGAAAGAATTTGCCTCCTCCAGTTCAACTGTGATTGAGTCTCCAGTGTCATTCCTTTTCGCAGATTGCTCGAGACGTGGACGGCTCGGGAAACTACTTCATTCTGACACACAAGCACATGGCCAAGGTGCACTCGCTCTCCAGCTACGGGGCTCAGTTGCACAAGCTGGGGCTGCCAGAGTGGGTCGTTTTCCATGAGTACACTCTGTCGGAGAACAACAGCATGAGAATAGTCTCTGAAATTTCCCCTCAAGTGTAAGTCGATGACTTTTTCAGCTCACTATCCAATGTCATGTGTGTAAGCAGATTAGAACGAGCTGTTGACACAAACATGTTTTGATTGTTTTTGTTATTACAGTAAAGATTAACCATTTGGTCACATGTTAATCCTCCACAGTAATCTTTTTAAATCTAAAAATAAGCATCAACCATATTCTCACTTGTTTATCATCCTTTCCAATTGATGTCATTTCTGTTTGGCATTTTAGATACATTCAAATGGCACCGCTGTACTTCTTCTACAACCTGCCCCCTAGTGAAAGCAAAGACATACTGCAAGACATGTTGGACCCAGATGGATCCAAAAAGCGCGGAGACGAAAAACAAAAAGCCATCACAGTCCACAGTGAAGCCGACAGTGGATGTGCAGTGGTGCCGCAGACTTATGACAGATGTGTGATCCAATGATGTGAAATTGTACATGTAAAAATCCTGGCTGTAATCTCATCACCAAATGTAAAATGTCTATAGTCAATGCAAACCTGGGACTGTTATATTATTGACTCCTGTCATGACAGCGTGTCACACAATGTAGTAAACCATGATCTTCATTAGTCGTGGTCCAGTATGAGTTACAGCCTCCTCATACCCGTACATCCCTTTTTCTGAGTGCTAGCATCTTTAAGTTTTCTTGTCTCACCTTTATCCCCGCTCTGCACTCCCCTTCAACACCACCTGTCTGAAACTGCCAGCATCCTGACGGCTGTTTTAGATTTTAATGAGCAGCAGAGGGGTTGCAGATAGATGTTGTCTGTTGCTGTACTTAAAAGGGAGAAAAAACATCCCATCACACCTCCTGTGCACATAACCGACGAGATGCAGATTCAAAGAGATGGTCCAACACTTTGATACATGTACAGGGTTGTTTTTATGCCTTTTCTTAGACAGCTTTCTTTTTCAGAGGTGTTGCTATACCTTTCTCCTCAGGATAACGTGGTATTTAAAGGTCTAGACTGAAACCTTGTGTGTGTGTCGACATGGTGCCAGATTAAGAAACGACTCTCAGAACCTGCAGGTATATAACTCTTTTATTATTAACCAGTGGCAGGAGATCAACAGAAATGCTTAACAAGAAATTCCTCACTTGAATGGTGGCATAAACTCCAACATTTTTTACCTGTTTTCACAAATTAAACACTGTATGCTCCATTTCATGTCAGCAGTCTAGATCAAGTTTGTAAAAAAATCAGGTTTCCACCAAGTTACATGAAAGACAAATCTGGATCTGCTACAGCTTTACCATGCAGTAATTAGACTGAGTGGCAAATGACACATCCCTCCCTCATCCATCTGCTGGAACTGAACTCCAAGCTCACACATATTTTCATTAACACACAAGACTCATATTTAATTGTCTTGGTTCATAATCTTGTTATAAACAAGTCTTAAAAAAACATGACAGTGCTGTTTTTCTTTTCCTGTTACAATAGAACCGTTGTATATTTCTGCAGTGAACCATTAATTTGTAATAAAAAAAAGAAACATCTCTAAAATTGCTTTAAAAAAAAGGTCACTGTGCAACATGTACTAAATGTCAGTTGTACGATACTGGCACCACTGTAAATGACAGTACCAAAAACATTTTCCTCTACAGTCTCTTACAAATAGCCTGAAGATCTTCGGTGTGCATAGGTGTCTCAGTTTATTGTGACATTCACACAGTTAGGTATTCTTTGAGTTTGTCCATAATAGCGGGCATTCTGTCTGCCGGTATCAGCATCACTGTCCTGAAAGGTTTCATGGGCACATCATCAAACGACCACCTGCCACTCAAACAGGAGTCTGCTTCTTCCTGGACCGAGTAGTGGAATTTCATGATGGCTTGCTGAGAAAAGAACACAGACGATGCTCAGATCTGTGACAATATCTCAACACGGGTACAAATGTTTTACATCATTTCTTCTCTGAAGGTATAAATACAGTCCAAGGCTCTGTTATGATAGTTTATCTTACTATATAATGACAAAAACTCTTTCTGTTCCACATTTTTCTCCTCACTGACTTGGTCAATCCATGTGAAATTTGGCACAGTGGTAGAGGGTCATGGGAGGATGTGAATGAAGCAATATTACATCAATTGGCCAAAGGGGGGCGCTATAGCAATGTATTGAAATTGCAAATTTTAAATGGGCATATCTCATGCCCCGTATGTCGTAGAGACATGAAACTTTGCACAGAGATGCCTCTCCTCATGAGGAACACATTTACCTCAAGAACCCATAACTTCCGGTTATATAGATTTTCCACCATTCTGAATTTTTGAAAAACACTTAAAATCGATCTCTTCCTAAGAAGTTTGAGCGATCTGCATGCAACTCGGTGAACATAATCTAGGGACCAATATCTAAAGTCCCCTCTTGGCAAAAGTTGGAAAACTTACTAAAACTGAGCTTCTATAAGGAAATGAATATTGCGGAGGGCGTGGCTCATCACATAAAGAAGTATAACATCTCAAGGGTTTCACCCATCACCACGCAACTTTGTAGGCATATGACCACACATAATCTGAGGGGACCCCTCCATTATTGACCCCATCAAACAAAATGGGGGCGCTAGAGAGCTAATTTCTTATCTAGGCCTAACCGCCATATCGATTTTTACTAAACTTGGTAGATATGTAGAACAGGATGCCTCAAGGTAACTGGAGAAATGTAACTCTAACTGGCAACTGGGTGGCGCTATAACAACAGAAAAATGCTTAAAATGGCTAAAATGTGGCCGATCACTATGGCTCCCCCTGTGGCCAAATGTTGTTGTTTTTTTTTCTAATTTTTGGCATGACTAAGTCATGGTATGGTATGCTGTACTCAATGGGTATGGACTAGTATAACAATAAATTGTCACTGTTATCATCCAAATGCTGTATTCAAAGCGATTCCTGTATATTATCAAACATCTAGTTTGCATTTACTTGCAGTTACCTCATAGAAGAATTCCTCCTCTGCATTGACAAACATATATTCGTCTTTGGGAGCTCCTCCTCTGGCTGGAATACTCTTGCTTGCCTCCTTGCACGTCTTGCTGATCATCAAACAATAGTGACACCTCCCACTGGGCTTATTCGTCCTCTGAGCTTCGACTATTTCTTCCCTGGAGAACAAAAAGAAATTCAGTTTCCTGCACACAGCACTCTCAAAAATTTAGTGTTGGCCATGAACAAGGATGCTTTCCATTTTTCTTTTCAAACCACAGAGATACTACAGGTACTCCTTTAGCTAACAGAACCCTTAGCAACTATTTCAAATTTGAATGCATTCATAAAAAGTAGCTAATCGGGTCAAGTATCTGTTTAAGACAAGAGTAGAACTCACTGGAGCTGTTTGTGCAGCGGGAGGGCGATCTGTGGAGGCACATTGATGAAGCGCTCGCTCAGCAGCAGCCCCACAGGTTTGCTGGTGTCGTTAAGGATCTGCTCGAGCTGCTCCGTCACACTGTGGGTAGAGTTCTTTTCACACTGGTCCACGATTAGCTCCTTCACCTCCTCCACACACTGCACACCCTGCCGACAGCAAAACGACACCACGCGTGTTAATTTTCTACATTATCGGAGCCCCAAATAGCCAATTAGGCTGTGAGGTTGGTGTGCACTGCATCGTGGTGGTGTCACCTTTCTTTCCGTGAGGTTGAGCATAGTGATGAAGCCAAACACTTCATCTGGGTCGTCGTCGTCGCTGTCTTCCGGCATCTCAGCTTGCTGGAGCAAAGTGAGGAGGCAAGAGAATACAAATTAGAACTGAAACTGCAGAAAGTCACCTGTAAGGTTTAACTATCAAGAGACTCACCTTGATGACACTTCCAACATGATTCTGCTGAATGATGAGGTCTGTCATCTCTGATGTATTTACGTGAGCCTTCAGGAAGAGCTGTAAGCAAACATAAGTCATTAAGGCCATGCCTACAGACACATATAATAATACGGACATGTGATTTAAATGCAGAACATTGTTATTTCCTCAAACCTGTTGTAAGAGTTTCTTGATGCCGTTGAAGTCATTGGCTGAGACACTGTGAGCTTCAAAGTCAACCATGACCTCCTGAATGCAAAACAAACATAAAACAGAGCAGTTAACAACAAGCCTAAGTATTTAATTAATGTAATTTAGTTTAATTAAGTTAAGCAAGTAGGTGTTTCATGCACCATTTTGGGTGAATGAGCAATTTTAGTTTCAGTCAAGTAGTTTTTTAATTAACTTTTAATTTAAGTTTTCATTTTTAACTAAACATAACGTTCACCGACATTGGATTTCATAAAAATAAAAAATAAAATTATTAAAAATTAAACAGACATGTATAAAAGAGGCATTTACAGCGGAATACAGTCACCTAATTAGTGGTTAATTGATGAATGAAATACAACAATGGCATTTTCGGTGGTAACGTTATTACTTTTCGTGTATGTTTTTAACGTACATTGTTAAATACTTTTTAAAGCTGAACTAGTTAGAGTTACACTACTACTAAAATATGACATTGCAGTTTTTCTAGTTCTAGTAGTATTAATCTTTTTAATCCTGGTTGACAGCAACAGTAAGAAATGCTAATGTAGCTTCCTGTTACGTTAGCCGACAGCTGCTTGCTAGCTAGCTAACTAACTAGCTAGCTAGCAAGGCCATGCACAGACTCCACATTCATAGGACTGTTTGTCGATTCTACCTCATTGATCTCCTCCTCGGAGCCCTCACTGTCCTCCTCCCCGGAATCATCATCCTCCTCCGGATTCTCATCGGAGCTGTTGTCGCTTTGCTCGGGATTTTCACCCAAACCTACCGCTCTCCTCTTAGCAGAAGAAGCCATGCTTGCAAACAGGCAACACGCGTGTCAACTGGGTGGGCGTGGCGAATGTTAAAGTTCAGCTTACGCCGAGGTAGGAAACTGAAAGTCGGCAGCCGCCATTTTGGCTCTGAATATGAACGAGTTGCTACTTGCCGTAGCAACCGTTGGAGCCGTAATGTTGGCTTGTCGCCCGTCACGATAACGGAATAAACCATTTTCGGAAAAAGGGGGTAGCAGTAATTTAGAGCGTGCATAAACTGCTGTGTTTCTGTCACAAATATGTATTTGCATCATGTAATTTAATTATTATTTCTAGATTTATTGGGATAAATGATAATTTGTCTCAGTTTTTTGATATTTTGAGAGGCTGGTCGAATACTGAATGTGACACTTCCCTTCTTGACCAAGGCTGAAAGTCGTTGTGTACACAGCGGTAGTGACAGCTTGAAGTACATGAATTTCGTGTAATATTTTGCATTTTTGTGCGTAACTATCGGAATTTATATCATTATATCATACCAGTAAGTGAAATTAGCAAGTTATCATCACTATGCATTACGGACATGTTCTGTTAAGGGGACGGTTAACGTTACTAGCTAGCTTAACTGTCATTCAGTACGTCTTGCTAATGTAAACAATAACACAGGAAGACACGAGCCATGTTTTAGCTAATGCTAAATACATGCGTGTTTATACAGTCCAATAATCGTGACTCAACAGTATTGTTATCAGCAGGTTGCATATGACAGTTTTAGGGTGTAGCTTAGCTTGCTGTGCCTTCACACCCTCTGTCCTCTGTGTTATTGCAGTTGTGAGTTTCTTGCTTTGGCTGCAGCATTCATCTTCCACCCTGATTTGGTTTATTGTATTTTCCCCCATATATTATATTGATCCAGCGTTTTAAGGTCTGTGTCGAGATGCATGTACTGCTTCTCAAAGAGCCACGAGATGGAGAGTCTGGACCTGATCCTTACATCAAGGTAACGTTAGATAGACTGTACTGTGTTCATATATGTATCCTCAGCAGTTTTCAATACTGCACTCCACCTTTAATGCTTTGCACTTCACTGCAAACTTTGACAAAATTCTTTTTTAATCTGATTCCACAGGCGCTGGCCTCACATGGACATAAAGCAACCCTAATCCCTGTGCTGTCTTTTAAGTTTGTCTCATTGAACACTTTGTCAGACAAGGTAAAATTAATTACTTCATCACTGGATCAGTATTTGTATCATTTGTGTACATATTTATTGCTTTTTGTATCATGTATCTGTTTAATGTGTCTCCTTATTTCAGCTTTTCCAACCAGAAAAACATGGAGGTCTTATATTTACTAGCCCAAGAGCAGTGGAGGCTGTGAAGATGTGCTTGGAAGCAGAAGAAAGACGGGAAGGTGAGAGGATACATATAATTATTTTACTCTGTACCTCACTGATAAATCCCCTGAAAGCAAAGATATGGCTAAATGTCTATATGTTTTTAAAATTTTATTTGTTAATTTATTTGATAGGGACAGTACATGCAGGCATTGTTACATTTAGAGAAAACGCAACCAATGCAATTTAGGACTTCTAGCTGTAGCTTATTCACAAGCTCTGCCCCTGGTACGGCTTTTGAGGAATAAAACACAATATAACACTCTAATATAGGCCTAATAAAAGAAACAACAACGACAAACAATAACTGAAACAAGTACTATAAACTACAATTAAGAACAATGACTGAAAATGACAATTAAGAACAACAAAAGTAAACAAAATTTGTATGCTATAGAAAGCAATGTAGTTTTAGTTTTGTCTGGGTATTGAAAGCTTTAAATGGAGTTAAGGATGGCAGTGAATTTCACATCTGTGGGCCTTTAACTGGAAAAGAGGACTGTCTGAATGTTGTTATGCATTGTGCTGGTTTACAGTTCCTCTAACTGCTCCCCTCGTGGTGGCTCCTTTGCTTTTTATATTTTAAAATTATTTGACTTTCTGGTTCTGCGGCAAGATCATTCGCACACTTAAAAATCTATTTTATAAATGAAAGATTTATAAATTTATCAAAGCTTGATACCTTTCTGAGTTCTTCAATGATACTTAAAAGCCTGTGTCCATGATGACATTGTAGGTTTCACTGCTGATTAGGTTGCTTGACCCCAATTGGTTACACAAAAAAGAGATATGTTAGAGTCATGGCATGCAGATATAGCTGGGTAGCTTCTATGGGTAAATAAAGACAACACCTAGGTATCGTAACTCATTTATTTTCATTATTTCCTCCTGATCAATAGTTATTGTAAAGCCATCACAAGTTATTTTGTTTCGGGACTGCTAACTGAGATTTAAGACAGTTTCCCTGATTAAATGTTGTCCTGTTCCTCGTTATTATCTCAGAATGGAACAACTCTGTGAAAGACAAATGGAACAGCAAGTCCATCTATGTGGTTGGGAAGGCAACTGCTGCATTAGGTGAGTTGTTGTCACATATGAAAACGCCTCTCACTTAAAATCATTTTTGTTAAAACACATCTGTGCTTTTTACAAACCCTTGCTATGTTAATGCTAATTTAGCAGAGTGTGGCAGGCACCTGGTGCTGACACAAGTGTGTGAAGTGATGTTACTACCTTCAGTCATTTGGAAATAGGTCGTGCCAAGTGACAGTTTGCTGTGACATTCAGTGAATGTATTTAAAAAGCGAGCAGGTGCAGCACCTTCCTGTTGTGTGCTTTACCTTCTTTTTTCTGTTGTTGCAGTTGGTCTTTTTGTTGTCAGTTTTTTATGAGTTGTGCTTTTAGTAATTGAATTATTTGTGCTTTTTCCTACACAGTACAGAGTCTGGGTCTGAACCCTTTGGGCGAGGACACAGGGACAGCAGATGTCCTATCACGTCTTATCATTGAACGTACGAAATGACTTTTACACTCCAACATTCCTCACAGTTCAGTTTAATAGAAAACTCACAGCCGTGATAACTAATATGACCTTATACTTCTCATCACAGGAGAGGACACAAATATTCCACCACTTTTCTTCCCCTGTGGCTCAATCAAGAGAGAAGTCTTGCCTACAGCTTTAAGGGAAAATGGTAAGCATTCTCCCCTATTGTGCCTCGAGATTAAGACTCAAGGTGATATATGTCCCACTGGGGCTACGCTAATTATAAGATAATAATTGCACTACCTTTATCACCGCGGGGATCTGTTTCTTTGTTTCCAGGAGTGCCCCTAGAGACGCTGACTGTCTATCAAACAGCGGAACATCCAGATCTGGAGAAAAATATAAAGAACTATTTCACAGAGCAGGTAAAACCCCGCTGCTTCTGCATTTTAGGCAATGCGTTTCTAAATGTAGCAACAGGTAATTTCATCTTCGCTTTTACAGGGCACTCCAGCCAGCATAGCTTTCTTCAGTCCATCAGGAGTGAAGTTCTGCCTAGAGGTGGTACGGAGGCTGTCAGGAGAACAGCTGGCTCAAATAAAGGTACAGCCTCCTCTTAATCACTCACATAAAGTTGTGCATGAATCCACAGTGCTTAACAGATCTCCAGTGCCTCTGACACTCAGTTTTGTGTCCAGTTTGCAGCCATAGGGCCGACTACACAAGACGCCATGACAGCAGAAGGCCTGAGAGTCAGCTGCGTTGCGGTGAAGCCAACAGCCGAACACCTGGCAGCAGCGATAGCCAAAGCTCTACAGTGATCATCCCACAGGCTGCAGCCCTTAAATCCATCCACTTTATCTTCTCTCTGTATATTCTGTATTATTTATAAGTGCTGTCATTTATCTGTTTGTCTTGCACCACTTTTGTATATACATCAGCTTATTTGCACTGAGAAAATGTAGCTTTTTGTGCCATAAAAGCCTTATAATGTAAGTTATTATAATTCCAATCATGTTAAGCCGCGTGCTAAAGAAATTTAATGCAGGGTTTGTTGTTGAAAATAAACCTCGGGCAGTTTGATGTGGAAGGTTTGGTCACTGGTTATTCATCGTAAAACTCTAAAGTGTGTCTAAGTGTGTGTCCTGTTCAAAGCAGGTGTCAACAGAAGTCACAGTTGTCCTTAACTGTTATTGTCCACATGAAAGTGAAGTCTCAACGTCTTTCCACAGGTCAACAACAGTCCATTTAAAACCAATGGAGCGTGTATGACACATCAATACGATGTAGCAGTTGGAGACAGTAAAAACAGTTTACTTTTCACACAGAGCTGATAAAAGTGAGACACATTCAGAGAGTTGCACCTTTAGATGGGTGTGGAGACACTCAGGATCTGCCTACAAAAGCACAGCGGCTTCTTACCTACTTGTATACAGTTGCACGAGTAAACCAACGCCACGATGCTGACTTCTATCCAGCTGATGATTTTGCTTTTTTGGACGAGCATTAGCTCAGCTGATGCAGAGAAACTTTTCCATAATCGGGATCATTCTGATGTGCAGACCCTTGATTCTCACCAAGCTGAGGTTATAACAGACAAGTACACAGCCGAGGTAAGACTTCATATAATTTTTAAATTCTCTTTCAAACTTTATCTATCAGATTATTCATTTTATGATTGATTACAGGACCAGTAAAATGTCAGTCGTGTCTTGTTACAGTTATTTCTCTCTAAATATGGATTCATTAAGCCAGTGAACTGGGACGAGATCCAGTTTGAAGATTCAGACACCTCTTTTACTGATGACTTCCTGGATGGCCTTGAAGACACGATCCAGGAAGGAACCTTGGTGCATCACTCAAGGGATGCTGGTGATCAAGGTGATCGCAACAGTCTAACTGAGAGCGAAGCGTTTATTTCAGCACTTAAAGAGTTTCAGAGGGTATCGGGCCTGCCTGCCACAGGGGTGTTTGACGAGGCCACTAAACAGGCAATGAACAAACCAAGGTGTGGAGTCCCCGACAAGGAGATTGACCTGGACACCCCTGTAGCACCTGAGAACAGCAGTGCCTCAGATATTGAAAACAGTTCCAGCAACACTTTCATTGAGACTGAAAGTAATAACACAGCCAGTAATATAACCACTGATACTTATTTTGGTAGTCTTAACTCCTTTGAAGATGACATATTCAATGGAAATGACACAGAAAGTATTCTAACAGGCATTTCTAATTACACCAGCATGAATTACTCAGACTTCTATGATCCTTTTTTAAATAACACTTCTTCAAATAGCTCACATTACATCACCATGGATGGTCAAGTGGTAAATATCAGCGTGAGCACCCATCAGAGCGAAGCAGTGCGACGCAGGAAACGTCACCTCGCCGCACTTGTGTCCAAAAGCAGACGCAAGAGAGATTTGAGTGAAACGGGCTACATGGCCTTCTCTAAGAGGATGTTAAAATGGAGGCTGATAGGAGAAGGTTACAGCAGCCAGCTGTCCATAGAAGACCAGAGGTACATCTTCAGACTGGCCTTCAGGATGTGGAGCGAGGTGTCTCCGCTGGAGTTTGTGGAGGATACACGTTCCCCGCTGGAGGATGTTGATATCAGGCTGGGCTTTGGCACAGGTAGGTCTGACCCAGTACATATGACACTCATTGTAACATGTTTAAGTGTAAATTTTTATAATAAATGTATTTGCTGTAGCACCTTTAACAGAAATGAAATTCACAAAGTGCTTCACAAAATACGATCAAGCAATTGAACAATGAAACATGCAATGAATAAAAACATCTAGAGAAGTTACTCCAAATATTGCCATGGACATGGATGGGGCAACTAGCTGTCTAAACATTGTTGAAAAAGTTTTAAATATTAAATCCCAGAAATGAAATAGTTTCAGGCATGACCAGAACATGTGACATAAAGTGGCTGAAGACTGTTTACACCTGTCGCACGTAGTATCAGTATCACAGCTAATCTTAGCCAACCAAGCTCTGGACCACTGGAGTCGGTTTACAATCTTATCAGGCCCATTTTCTGGAGTTTCCTCTGGTTCGGACCTTATCTCTTTTGTGAAATAGTTCCTTAACTGCATGTACCTAAAAATACTTATGTATTTTGGGCTTTGAATGCAGGACGTGACTTGTTTTTGAGCATTTTCACAAGGGAATATTTGTGCTTTTATTTTGTAAAGGATCTGAATTTGCCTGGGTCCAATTCTTAAAACTCTGAATACTTCTTCTAACACTGCCCTTGTGTGAAGTAATGTATTGCACCGTGCTTAGATCATGTTTTATTCAAATCACAGAGAAATCAATGCAATCAATTTTTTTTAATGCTGTGCCACTATATTCCTCACAGGAAGGCATCTGGGCTGCAATCAGAGGTTTGATGGCACTGGTCAAGAATTCGCCCACGCCTGGTTCCTGGGTGATATACACTTTGATGACGACGAACATTTCACTGCTCCCAATGCTGGCAGTGGGATCAGCCTTCTCAAAGTAAGAACGATCGCAGGAATCATCAGATGTGTAATGGAAAAGGATAATCAGAGGTTATATTTGAACATTTTTATCTATCTGTCAGGTAGCAGTTCATGAGATCGGCCACGTTTTGGGTCTACCCCACATCTACAGAGCTGGCTCTATAATGCAGCCGAGCTATCTGCCCCAGGAGACAGGCTTTGAGATGGACTGGATGGACAGGAAGGCCATACAGCACCTCTATGGTATGTGGTAACAGCACCATCTAGTGGACACATACACACACAGCCCCAGACAGAAATACATTCAGGATCCTTTACATACTTACAGTAATAGACTGCCACAAAACCAATTTGTTTTCTTCTAATAATGCGCTTGTGTTTGAACCCAGGGGCCTGTAAGGGTCGATTCAACACAGCATTTGATTGGATCAGGAAGGAGAGGACGCCCTACGGAGAGGTTGTCATCCGCTTTAACACCTATTTCATGAGAGACGGATGGTACTGGCTATATGAGAACAGACACAACCGGACACGCTTTGGGGATCCAGTTGCACTGCAGGCTGGCTGGCGTGGGATTCCCGTGGATGGAGTGGATGCCTATGTGCATGTGTGGTCCAGAAAAAGAGACGCTGTGTACTTCTTTAAAGGTGGGCTTCATAATGTGCCAGCCTACATATGTGAATTGTATAAATACATATATGTACAGTAGTTTACATAGGCTTATCATTGTCATAATAAACCTCTAAAGATGTGTTTTTCTGTGTACAGGTGCTCAGTTCTGGAGGTATGACACTGAGAATGACCAGGCTTATAGACAGGACCCTGAAGGTCACCACTATCCAAGGTTAATCTCTGAAGGTTTCCCAGGGGTGTTCAGTCCCATTGACACAGCCTTTTATGACAGGAGGGACTCTCGCATCTACTTCTTCAGAGGCACTCTTGTAAGAATTGCATCTATATCTTCTTTCTGACACATGACACATAGATTAGTTAGGTTAGAAAGAGCAATAGATTTAAGGATTGTGTGAGAGACGGCCAATGAGGTGACAGTTTAAGGGACTGAACTGCCGACAAGACAATGTGGGCAACTGTTATATTGTCACAGTCTCCCAGGGATCACAGTGTGTCAACCTTTGTAATTTGATTAATCGCAAATTTGTCAATCTTAATTCATAGTGTTATGTTGTGTTGTGTTGTGTTAATTAAAGCTCAGGTAGGCATACATTTCAATTAGGGCCTGCTGTGCCGTAAGACAAATTTCTGTGCAAGCAGACAATAAAGTATATCGTATCGTATCGTATCTGGAAAAGGCCAAAAAACGAACAAACAAAAAATAAACAGCAGAATTTGAAAATACATCCTGCTACTGCAGCTCTCCCAGACAACCCTGGGCATATGCACATGCTTCATACACTAACCTAGTGTTTTTCATACATCGATCCACACAGAGTTGCCTGCAGCACATTGACTCAGCATCTCCTTTCCCCGCTTTCTCTGTTTATCAGACCACAGATGAGACGAGAATTAGCTAGCTAGCCACACCATGATCTGTCCGCCTCCCTCTCTACTCCTGTGGACTGCTTCCCCTAGAGGAGAGCAGGCAGCAGCTCAGAAGACGGACCATCAGTCGCCGGCTGTAGTGGCGCGATTTCAGCCAGAGCAAACCCCCCCAGGGCCAGGTGTCACAGCAGGCTTGTGGCCAGCAGCAGCACCAGGTCTAACTTGTGTAAAGGCAGCAACAGAAAGTTTGATGATCCAGTGGGAAGTCTGTCTGGTCTCTCCAGAGCTGGGGTTTGCATGTTGGACTTGGGTTGCTGCGGCTGCTGTTTGGGGTCCCTCTCCTGAGCTGCTGCCCACTCTCCCACCGGCGATCGATGCTCTAACTAACGTTAGCTGCATAAATGTTAGCAGAAGGCTAACTATTAACTACTAAACTATAAGCAACATTTTCTTTCCATCTCTGAAATGCTTCGCCAATATTGACACGTTTTGTCTCATTTATTGTCAGACTCTCTTTTAGACTCTCGTTTAGATTTGTAGTGTAGGCAGTTGTTGGCGATGCAGGAAGAGCAACTTTTTCTGCAGGTTTTAACTGAAGGGACATGCACCAGCATCTGCATTTGTAGAAAAGCCAATAAGAAGAAGCCGTCTCTTACTCTCTTTAAAATGGCCTGTGATTGGCCAAAGTATCTTGGCACAGGCTAGATTTTCTGAAGCCTAAAAACAGAGTCTAGAGGTGCAGAAGTTTTCTCTCAGACCACTTGAATTACAATATGCTCAAAGTTTAATATGGGATTTTTAAAATTAAACTGCCTACTGAAGCTTTAAATTACCACAAACTAATTGACGCAAATTAAAACCTGAGGCCTGTTATTATAGCATAGGACTACTTGTTTGTTTCTGGGTGTATTATTAAGCTGCCATGCTATTGTTCTGTGCTTGACAGAAACCAAGAGGCAACAGGGTACAAATATAATACACAGAATATTTTATATATGCATACATACATTTTGGAGAGACCAAAGCCCAAGGTAATTGATTGTTTCTTAGCATTATGAGAGAACATATTCATGCAAACAAACCTGCTACACTTCCTCTGTGATTTACTTGCGTAGTGTAATTGAATTGATTTCTATATAAGAAGGGGAAACAATTATCTGTTCAAACAGGTGTATGCATTCGACGTGGAAGCCAACAGCTTGGCAAGAGGCTTCCCCAAAAACATCAGAGATGTTTTCCCTCCAGTGGTGAGTGGGGACCATCCAGATGGCAACATTGACGCTGCCTACTTCTCCTACACCCACAATGCCATCTTTCTACTCAAGGGCACACACTTCTGGCAGGTGGTGGGCAGCCGCGAACGCTGGCGCCGGCCCTTTCTGCCGCAAAATGGCCTGCTGCCACACAAGGAGGTGGATCAACACTGGTTCGACATCTGCAACGTTCATCCCACTGCACTCAAACTAACTCGCTGAGTTTGCTGAAGCAGAGACTCATTAAACCGTACTGATGTGTACTGATGGGGTCTACTGATTCACCTGTTATATGTTTACGTGTTGTCATATGTGTGTAGCATCCATTGTCTAACTTTTTAATGTTTATAATTTAAGATCTTAAAGACAAAAATAACTGAATATTTTTGTTGGCTTACTTTTTAATGAGGTGTGTTATTAATATATCAGCTGCTCTGTCTGTCTCTCACTTAGAGGTGCCAAATGCATACTGGCATGAAAACAATCCCAAAGGACCTCCTATGATTAAGATATTTAGAGAGTCAGGGAGAATATACTTATTTATAGATAGTTCACTCATGCTTTATACAGACACCTCATTTTACTTACACTGTGGAGAAAATGCTATCAAATGGCACACTTACAAAGAAAAGGGGATGTTCATGCAAAAACAGGAAATAATTTCATACCTCTCAATCTCCCAGTCGCCAGAAGAAAATGTTGGCATTGTATGTTTCTGGAAATCACAAATGTGTTTCATTGGCATGCCCCATACATATTATATCTAAAATGTTTCTAAAATGATGTATATAAAAGCTGATTTTGTCATCAAGAGGTGGAAGGGATGGTGGATGGTGTGTCACCAAAGTCAGATGCCTGCCAAGCTGAAGACCACTGCAGGCCACCATTCGAGACCAACAAACAACAAAACCAGTTGTTTTTAGCGAGTCATTGCTGTGTTTCCAGCAGTTTTCAGGCCCCAAAATGTGGGTGTTTTTAGTATCTAGTAGCTGTGTTTCCAGCTGCTTTTTATGCACCAAATGTGGGTGCTTTTTAGAGACACGAGTGTGATTCTAGCTGCTGTTTAGACACCAAATGTGGGTGTATTGTCGAGACCCATGAGTGAGTTTCCAGTAGTTTTTAAGGCCCCGAATGTGGGTGTTTTTTAGAGACCCGTGAGTGTGTTTCCAGCAGTTTTTAAGGCACCAAATGTGGGTGTTTTTTAGAGACTTGTGAGTGTGTTTCCAGCAGTTTTTAAGGCACCAAATGTGGGTGTTTTTTAGAGACCCGTGAGTGTGTTTCCAGCAGTTTTTAAGGCACCAAATGTGGGTGTGTTTTAAAGATACGGGAGTATGTTTCTAGTTGCTTTTTAGGCACCAAATGTGGGTGTTTTTTAGAGACCCATGAGTGTGTTTCCAGTGGCTTTTTATGCACCAAATGTGGGTGTTTTTTAGAGACCCATGAGTGTGTTTCCAGCTGCTTTTTATGCACCAAATGTGGGTGTTTTTTAGAGACACGAGTGTGATTCTAGCTGCTGTTTAGACACCAAATGTGGGTGTATTGTCGAGACCCATGAGTGAGTTTCCAGTAGTTTTTAAGGCCCCGAATGTGGGTGTTTTTTAGAGACCCGTGAGTGTGTTTCTAGCAGTTTTTAAGGCACCAAATGTGGGTGTTTTTTAGAGACTTGTGAGTGTGTTTCCAGCAGTTTTTAAGGCACCAAATGTGGGTGTTTTTTAGAGACCCGTGAGTGTGTTTCCAGCAGTTTTTAAGGCACCAAATGTGGGTGTGTTTTAAAGATACGGGAGTATGTTTCTAGTTGCTTTTTAGGCACCAAATGTGGGTGTTTTTTAGAGACCCATGAGTGTGTTTCCAGTGGCTTTTAAAGCACCAAAAGTGGGTGCTTTTTAGAGACCTGTGAGTGTATTCCCAGTAGTTTTTTAGGCACCAAACGTGGGCGTGTTTTAAAGATACAGGAGTGTGTTTCTAGTTGCTTTTTAGGCACCACTTGCGGCTGTTTTTTTTTAGAAACCTGTGTTTCCAGCAGCTATTTTGGCACTAAATGTGGGTGTGTTTAAGAGACCTGTGAGTGTGTTTCCAGCAGCTTTTTCGGCATCAAATGTGGGTGTTTTTTAGAGACCTGTGAGTGTGCTTCCAGCTGCTTTTTAGGCATCAAATGTGGGTGCTTTTTAGAGACCGTTTAGGCACCAAGTGTGGGCGCTTTTTAGAGACCTGTGAGTGTGCTTCCAGCTGCTTTTTGGGCACCAAATGTGGGTGTTTTTCCTGCATCTTTAAGCCCCCAAACGGGTGAATTTTTAGTGATCTGTGGCTTTTTTTTGGATTGTCTTTTAAGGCAAAGAACATGGGTGTCTTTTAGCAACCTGTCCCTGTTTTTCCAGCAGGGATAGTACCACAGATAGTAGTTGTTTTTTTACTAAGATATTACTGCATTTCCTGCCAGAATATTGGCCACACGAAAAAAAATTTTTAACCAAGACATCACAGTGTGTCCAGTGTGGTTTTGCTCCTAATACCTGTTTTTTTTTAAAAGCCAAAACATAGTATTTTCTGAACAATAACCATTTTTTTTGTGCCTAAACCTAACTATGTGTTAACCACAGTGTTATTGATACATAAAGTTTTAATGTATCTGCTACACAATAACATGCAAATGTAAGGTATCGGTGATTTGCAGAAACGTACATTGCCAACATTTTTTCTTGTGAATGGGATATATTGAGAACTACGGAGTGACATCTTATGTAAGATATATTGGACCTATATTAGTTGAAGAAAGATGCATAAAAGTATCTGTACTACGATGCGTGTACAAAAATGGAGATTTATTCATAATACTGAGAGTGGTTTCTGGGTAAACTCACAGATTGAAATGTGTGTTTAAAAAAATGTTATATAATGATTTGAAATGTATATCATCATCATAACCATCATCATCATCATCATCATCATTATCATCACCATAATTATCATCATTAACATTCATCCAGATTCCTCTGAGTGTTTCTTGTTTGCGCTTTGTTGCTGGGAGGGATACAACATTACAACCAGATCCAGTCGTTGCCCTGTGATGATGATGGATGTATAGATTCACTTGGTCCCATGGCCTCTTGTTAGCTTGACTGTCTGACAGCACATCTGCACTGGATGTATGAAATCACACTTCCCTCCAAATCGCTTGCAGAAACTCTAATCTATAGCTGCCTGCAGGCAGGAAAGAATATCATGTCAAGTCAAGTCAAGTCAAGTCAGTTTCAGCCCAATATAAGAAATCACAAGTTTGCCTCACGGGGCTGGAAACCACGATTTTCCCTTTGCAAAAATCCCTTCAATGCTCTGTGGTGATTCATCCCATGCAGTGCTTGTGGGCTGACCTGCAAGAAAACAACATACGCTTTATCAATAAAAACCTGGAGGTGGTGGAAAACATCTATCCGATGATGCGTTTCTTTGAATTCCTTCTTGTTATGAAAGAAATGGTTAAAGATTTACACATTATCAATCAAGAAAGAGCATATTGAAATTGTGGCAAAAAATGATTGAAAAGGGGGACTTGCCTTATTACTTAATGCTGTTCCATTTTACAGTAATCATTTGAGCACGGAGCAAAGCAACAGACATCGATTCTCTAATCAATATCTCACTTGAACACTCTTATTAATTCTGCTCATCTTAGGATATTAGGCTCCTGGTGGGCCCCAGATAACTAGCATTGTGCTCCAGGCGCTCCATAGGCTATATTAATAAATTGAAGTAGAAATCAATTACAAGCAAAGGAAAGAAATGTCATGGTAAGTGGGGCTACAGAGACAGATGTCATGAGATGATAATCATGCTCAGGCATGTATAGAATGAGATTCTCTGTCTGCGAAGGCAAAAACAGCATACAAATAAATGCCCTCATTCATCTTCCTCTGCTAAAGATGTGTGCTTGTGTTAAGGTTATATTCCTTGTATTTTTTAGAAGATTTGAGTGGCTGAATAGCAGCAGTTGTCACTCCTGACTTCTTGGTTCAAGTCCACGTGAACATTTTGAGATTTCTTTTTATTATTACAATAGTAACAGGCATATTATCTCTCCAGAAGAACTAATAAACATCCTATAATTCAGCGTGAAGACACATTTGTTTGAATCTAATGCGCCATATGTTTGTAGCTGCAGTACATTGCTGCGTGGTTGATATCTCAGCAGGAATTATTGATAGACTAATATTGAATCCAGTGCACAAGATGATGCAGTGCAGCAGAGGCCTGTGATCTGTTTGTTTATCCCATTATGAAGCACCATACATCTCCTGCACCCTGGAGTTCCCCATACAGAGAAATCCTAAATACAAACTGTTATTCACACATGCGAGTCCCCGGCTGCCACACTGCACAGCTCAATGATCTGTGCTTTTGCACTAACAGTGCTGCTATTGAAGCTCTCTTCCCTACACCCTGGGCCTCTTTGGATGCGACTGGGATAAATGAGATCAGTCATGCTGATGGAGCCCGAGCCGCAGCAGCCTCGAAGAGATACAAAAACCTGTGTCATGGCACAGGAATCCACATGGGAGGCACTTCAGAAACAGGAGAATGGGACAAAACTCCTGCAGCACATTCATTTAACAAAAATCTCCCAAACTCTGCCAAGACGTGGAAATAACTTGCAGTGCTGTTGCCTCATTTTTTGTCGCAGAGCGGTGTGGAAAACATTGGAATAATTGTGTGTGTGTGTGTGTGTGTGTGTGTGTGTGTGTGTGTATGTGTGTCATGGGATTAGTTTAAAGGGACAGTTCAACCCAAAATCAAAAATACATATTTTTCCTCTAACCTGTGGTAATGCCTTAATCTAAATTGTTTTGGTGTGAGTTGCTGAGTGTTGGAGATATCAGCCATAGAGATGTCTGCCTTCTCTCCAGTATAATGGAACTAGATGGCACTTGGCTTGTGGTGCTCAAAGCGCCAAAAAATACATTTGAAAAACTCAACAGCAATGTCTCTTTCTAGAGATCATGACCTGGTAACTCAAGATAATGCGAGGACCTTGTTGTACAACAAATCCTCATGTAATGGTCCATATGATTATGATATCTAACAAGTTAGAATAACGTTAGGTATTTAACTTCATATTATGCACTCAACATAAAGTTACGTACCTAACCTAGATTAGATTATGCATGGTGATTTGGTTGGAGGGTGTAATTTGTTAGAAAGAAAATAGTTCCTGCCTAAAAACTGCTAACAACAAAAGCCGTGGATTATCTTAAGTAACCGGGTCATGATTCATGAAAAGAGACATTGTTTAGTTTTCCCAAAGTATTGGATGAGAGTGTGCCATCTAGTTCCCCTATATTTGAGAGAAGGCAGACATTTATATGACCGATATCTCCAACACTTGGCAACTCACACCAGAACAATCTAGACTGATAAATAGCACTACAGGTAAGAGAAAAAAATGTGTATTTTTGATTTTGGGGATAGCTGTCCCTTTAACAACCCGTGGCATATAGATTAAGTAGTGTGTTACATTTGAATGTATCCTCATATTCTTGCTGTCAAGCTCCGGCCCTTTGAGGATATCCTTGTTGTCCTGTCACCTTTCCAGAGTTTACTTAATATTGAGTTCAAGGATGATATCACATTCAATATGTTCACAGAAAGAGAACATTTCCACCCTTTCCCCTGCCATAGAAATGATGGCATTTTCTTCCGTGAGTCAGATCTTGCGGGAAGAATGTTGAATAGTTTCAATTTATTGTACGCTTGAGTTGAGAAATTGTTCATTGTACATGTCATAATATTCACACAGCAGCACTGTGAAAATCTTTCATGCCCTGTCTGCCCTTGTTGAAACAGAGCGAGTGAAGTGCTAACCTCATCAGGAAAAGGAATAAACAATTCCATTACTTTAAGGGTATTGATCAGTAGGATGGAGAGGA